TTGGAAAACTAAACATGTTATATATATGTTGACTTTTTCTTAAAGAAATCAAAAGCTGATTTTTCATTAAGCCTTCCTCTTAAAAAAAAAAAAAAAAAAAAAAAAAAAAGTCATTTTCTAACATAACTTTCAACCAGCTTTACCAAACCCAAACGAAATAGCTAAATGCATATCACCTTAGTCTCACTCCAGTGGACAATCTTAATGGATCATCTACTCTGATGTTTTTCAAGACAGAACAAGGATGCTTAACCAGTGATTTCTGCATCAATTTCATAATTCAAATGGAATTCTTGCATACCATTTCCCTGCCAGTCTGCATTAATGACTGCAGATAGGACATCTACGTATGTATTTTGACTTCACTGCTGATGTTAAAGACCTCTGTCTTGTTGCCTGAAGTCAGAAGATGATGAATTACATTCTTTATCTCAGAACTACAGATAAAGGAGTAGTACTCAGACCTTCCAGCTGAGGCAAAATTGGTGAAATACCCCAGTTAAGCTATAAGAAAAAAAAAAACAAAAAAAACCCACAACTTTATTCTGAAAATGTGATTCTGGCAATAGCTTTCAAATGTCCAGATAATCTTCTTGGGGGCTAAACATTTCTTCTGGAAAAAGCTGGCCTGTCAGAGTGAAGGGACGCATATTCTTAGCTTCAGATGGCCATATCTTTTGGAAAAGAAACAACTATGAAACCCTTAGAGGGCAGTCTGAGAAAAGATTGGTTTATGTGCTTGCTTTACCTTTTAAGCTACATCACTGATACATAAGAGAAGGCATCTATCAAATACTTCTCCTCGTTTCGTTTTTCCTTCTTTTTTCTCCTCAAGATTTCACAATGATGTTACTACTCAAAGGAATCTGTGAAGGCAAAAATCAACCAGTATTTTATTTTTCCCATAAATTGGCATGCAAATACAAGTCAACTTTTATGCAGGTGGTTGTATCCTTGCAAACCATGGAACTGTTGACCTCTGCCTCTTGTCTTAGAATTTTGATCTCTGTGGCTCTGTTGAAGTCTGCTTTTTTGAATTTCTCAGCAGCTCTGTTTTGGGGGTCTTTCTTTAGGACTTAGTTGGCTCAGCAAGGCATGCTGTGCTGGGGCTTTCGGTGCAGAGGTAGCTAGTGCTGCATGCTGACATCAGTCCTGATAATGTCATTCTCACCAGGAGGTGATATGTTTCTATGTGAGGTGCCAAGTCCTAAGTAACTCCATCTTAGTTCAGTGCCTTCATTTTTGTGCTGGGGTGGCTAGTTACTGTTATGAGAGAAAAGGATACTTATGAATTAATGACACTGAAATTGAACTTTATAAAGGAATTATAATATATTGCACTTTTTTTTTTTTCTTTGAAGTCTATGTTATCTTGAACTCCAACATTTCAGGTTTTGTTCGGACTTGCAGAATTTACTGCACATGGGGCCATACACTATAAATAGTCGTATTGCACATAATGTCTCTCTTTAAAGAGGTAAAATTGCAGCAAGGTTTCTCTTCAAGAAGCCTACCTTTTTACTTAAGGTAATAGATTCTGGCTGTAGAATTCAAAAGATAACAATAGAAGCCATTCTTCTTTCAAGTTGCTTCTTTTTCAGGAATACCAGTGAGATAGATGAGGCTCCAAGCTTATCAAGCTCAGCACTTCTTGCATCTGGTGTATGAAGTCAGGGTAGCAATGGTTTAGAATTGAGGAAGTGCACTTGGGGAAAGCATACAGTGGAGATGAAAAAGGAGTTGTTAGGGATATTTTAGGCTGGTGTTGGAAGGACTACACTAGCAAGGTTTTAATGAGGGTGAGAATCAATCTCTGCAGCAGGTAGAAGCAGTCTAACATTCCATCTTGTGCTCATGGTAGAATAGGTTCAGCCAGCCTTCTCGGATGGAGGCATTGCCACTGCTGCTTTTCTTTCCAAGGTCACATCACACCAGCTAACCTGCAGCTGCTGGAAATGTGCCATTAAGTGGTACTCAGGTCTCTCTCAGAGACCTGATAAATACCATCAGCAGATAGTCGCTGCACCCAGCCTCAAACAAAAAATGTTTACAATAAGAGAGTTTTTTTCTCTTAAAATTGTATGGTTTTTGTAGGATAAATGAGTGGAATGCTTCACCGGTGTGATACAAAAGACAAGTAAAGTTTATCTGAGTAGTTGCAATCTCTTGTAAAGAAGGTGTGTCCTGTGGTGCTGCATCTTGGCTTTTTCTTTAATTGTTCACTCAAACATGTACAACATTCAAAGGGAGATAAAAAGATTTTGGATTAGAGAATAGGTCACTCGGTTCTTGATCACCTTTAATCACAGCTGAGTGAAATTTTTCATGGGAACCTTTTTATAAGGGAAAGTCAGACAAAATGTCCAAACTTTTCACATATTTAAATCAGTTTCCTTTCTGTTTTTCGTAGTGATTATAAACCGCTTGAGCTACAAAATGTTTTTTTTAAAGAAAAAAACAGAATTTGAGGGCTAAGATAACTGTTTCAAAAGTCCCACCTCCTCCCCCTTTTTAAAGATTGTAATCCCAGGGAATTGAAGGAGGTATACAGACTTTGTAAAATGAACTTTTCTGAAGGAACTGAAATGGTCATTTCAGTTTTTAGTTTTTATTAAAATATCTGATTTACTTTCATCACAGATTATAATACTATCTTCAGAAATTTGGAGCGGCAATGAACTAGAATTAGATTTGTTACTGTGCTGTTTCCCGAGTACCTTGATAGTATGAGTGCGTTGCTCATTATAATTTTTAAGCACCTTTTTCAGTGTAGTTGATATCACTGTTTCTGCTCCTGCTTCCTTCAGTTGGTGAGAGAGGTGTAGCTTTTGAAACTATCAGCATGGGAAGTTATTGGAGAATTGTAGGAACTGCTCACTCAGGGCAACAATTTTATCTGATATCTTTCTGAACTTATGAGCTGAAAATAATGGAATTATACACATTGACACCCCTTGAGGATTTGACCATCAGATCCAGTCATTAAAAAGGTCTTCACATATTTATCCTACTTATGTCAAAACTTGAAATGAAAATCACTTTGGATAACACTAGCTTACATTTTTTTCAGTTGTCAGAAGCTACTTTTGATTTAGCACAAACTGTCTAAAGAGCAGTCTAACTGGAGCAATCATCCATTCCAAAAGCCTGACTTGAAAATGTTGTTCGGGGCTTCCATCATGATGTTGATTCACAGATTTGCAGATCAGATGTAATGACTTAGGGATTTTTAAGAAAAGGCGGTTTGGGCTCTTTTTTATTCTTAACTACCAGCCTTGGAAACTCAGTAAGGAGTCTGAAAATTAGGCTGGATTGTTATTCATTAATCTGACCCTGAAAATGGGAGGGAATGAGCTCAAAGAGGGTAGATTTAGGTTAGATGGAAGAAAAAAATCTTTTACAGTGAGGGTGGTGAGGCAGTGGTACAGGTTGCCCAGAGATGTGGTTGATGCCCCATCTCTGGAAACTTTCAAGGTGAGGCAGGATCAGGCCCAGGGCAACCTCATCCAGCTGTGGTGTCCCTGTTTGTTGCAGGGGGGTTAGACTGGACACCTTCAAAGGCCCCTTCCAACTCTTAGGATTCTGTGTTTCTAATGAGATTTGAATTGTGTTGCAATCTGTACTGGTTTCTTGAAATTAATGGGATCAAAAAGCAGGAAAACACTTGACCTAAGTTTTTGCAGGAGAAGTGGAACTAGTTGCATCTTGTTTATGATTTGCATGTCCTTAGTACTCTTGCAGAATTCTTTCATCTTACAATATGTATGCAGTGACAAAGAAACATACAGGAAACCTGAAAATATAGTCTGAAGGCTATGCCTTCCTGATGTGCTCAGTTGTAGCTGGAGAACAGGTTCAGAAGTTATCAGATAATTAATACATTTATAAGCCCACATCAGCATCAGAGGGATCTGCAATCTTGAAGATTATTGTGTTTATCTTCTTATGACTTTAGAAGACTGATTTGCAAGTGAACTTAAAAAATTCAACGCAAACGCATAATTTTAGAGACAAGGTTGAATCACTTCACACCCCAGTTGTGGTATATCCTTCAGTGCATGAGTAGTCCCACTGGCTAGCAATAAGGCTACTTATGTACTTAATATAGTATCTGACTTCAGATTAGATTGCAGAAAACAGCCCATAGGTTATTTGTAAATCAAGACTTTGAATTTGCTCCTTCAATATTTGGCATATTTATTATGTTTATAGCATTTCTAATACACATGCAGTGTATTTAATCATAATGTGCTGCTTCAAATAAAAGTAGTATTTAAGATAGTTCATTTCTCTTCGTGTCTCTTAAGTTCATGACAGAAAATGTTTCTTCCCAAGATCATGAAAATCTTGTATCCGAGTCTTAGTCAACTCTAAGAATAAATGGTTGAGGAGCAGATCCTTTTACATGGGTCTCCTCATTCCCATTTCTGATCTTTGCTGGAGCTCTGCAGTTGTATTTCACATTCGTGAGCACCTGAAACATATTTCAGTTTTGCATTTATTTCTAATAAGTATATATTTTTGGATCAAATCCATTAGTTAATTTCCCTTGAACTGTTCTTTCCGATACAGTTTTTACCCAAAGTTAAACATTATCCTTCAATTTTGAGCATAACAGGTTTTGCAGTCCATAAAATTAATTTTTGCTAAAAGCTTTTTGCGTAAAAATATTTCTGACATGACTGAATAGCTGGGCCATTATTAAAATGTTGTCTTTTGGAAACAGCAACACTTCCACATGGGCTTTCACATAGGTTCTGTATTTTTAATCAGCTACTGCTTTTATAAAAGGCATGCAGTGCACAGGAGAGTGGATTCACATGTCCTTTTCTGTTCATGCACACTGGCCTGTGGACTATAAATGGAACAAAAGGATGAACTTCAATGAGCACTTGTGAATTTGCAAGATAAACATGTGTTGATGAGTTAGAACTTTGTTAACATGCCTGAAGTAGTTTAAATAAAGACTGTGTCACATATATTTTTCTTGTTATTTTTAGAAGTCCAGCTCCAGTGCGACCTGAAAATACGCCATCATCTGGCCCTCCAGAAAAGCAGGAAATTAAAGTTTCTCGTGTGAGGAAGTTAACAAGACAGTACAGCTTGTGAGTAACATATAACACTATCTTCATGTTTTTGCCTGGTACAGCTGTAAAAGAAGGAGATGCTAATTATTGCTCTAGCTATGCTTTCTGAAAGACATGAGTGCAATTACATGATAATGATCTTAGGCTGATACCATTCCTTTCATCTCTGAGAATCTTAAAGCTTTTAATACTTGGTGAATTTGCCATCTCTCTGCAGTTACTAACTTCTGATGTGCAGCCCCTTTGCTTTTTTTTGGAGCTTATTGATTAGAAATTAAAAATCTCTTTTCCACATGAAATGTCAAAGACCTGGTGTGAGTTGGAGAAGGCTGCTCTATCTGCTTCATTACAATCCCATTTGCAAAATGAGGGAAACAGTCCTTAGCTGCTGGGTGTTCAAGCTGTGTTCAGCCATTCCCTCTGGAAAGAGTGAGTGTTCTCTCTCTGTCTCTCTGTAATTTTGTCACATGCGGAAGTTACTGAGCGTGCTACAGCTGTGGCAGCTAAGTTAGGTCTCTTATTCCTGGCAGGAGTAATCTGTGCCTACAGAGATTTGGCATCCCATTTACACCCAATTCATCTAATGTTAGAGTCTAGGGATAAACATGGAAATTAGTGTGTTGATTTGTCCTTCACATGAACCATCAAAACCATCAGATGGTTCAGGTCATTGGAAACTAGAGGATTGAACAGAGTGGAAAACCAAAAAAGAATAAAAAAGAAAAGAAATAAAAAAGAGTATTGGCATAAATTTACTAATAGAAGAATGGAGAAAAAAAGTTATATATGCTTTCTCTGCGGAACTGTTAGTACGTATAGTAATTGAACATTCTAGTGCCACTAAATATATAGCACAATCAGCAAGATTTCCTCCCATCCCAAAGGTTTCTAGTAAATGTCAATATGTAATTATTTTCTGTCTCATTGTCAATAATGCTGGCTTTTGATATGGAACAAAAATAACGACCTACGTCACTAAAACTGAAAAATTATTTAGGAGAAGAAACAGAAGAATGAATCAAATTGAGGGTAGAAGCTAAAGAAGCATCTAGCCAAATCTTTACTTGTTCAAGAAACCAAGGCTAACATATGAGAGTGCAGCCACAGCTTGGTAAGCAGACCATGACAAAGCTCATTTACGGTGCATTAGCCAGTATGGTTTGGAAATGAGACCAGAAATGGGAATTGACCACTCAGGATGGGAAGAGAACTCAGATTCCCATCCTATCTTGCTAATTCTGAAGGTAATGCATGACAGTTAACTTGACAGCATTTCCTAGGAGTGGTTTCTCAAGGTCTGAAAGCCTGTTTACTCACTATGCCCAGCAGACCTCAAGCACCAGTAGGCTTTTTCTTGGATGATACACCATTTCTACTATCCTGTTTTCTACAAGCCAGGAGAAGGAAGTCCCCTACATATTCAACATGCTTCTGATTTGTTGGATTTTTATATAATGCAGGGATTTTTACATAGTAAGAGAAATGGCTGTGACACTGAGAGGATCAATTATGCTATGCTGTGCACGTAGCAGATAATGAACAGAGCATGATAGCTGATGCTCCTCTTTGAGCACACTAATGTGCAGACCTATTGCAGGCATAGTCACAGGTTTTGTATGCATACTTGGAAGATTGTTTGATTTGAGCTTTAACCTACAGGAATTGTTAAACTTGATTCTCCAGTACTACTAGATGCCAAAAAAAAAAAAGAGAGCAAGATTATGCCATGTAGACAATTTTGAGTTACAGATACTTCAGTGACACTATGTATGCCAAAACAGAAGATTTGCCATGGGACTAATAAAGTAAAGTAGTAGGATAAGCTAGTTTTGAGAATAGCAAGAGAGTTAGAAATCAGTGATAAACTGTCTGAGAAAAAAAAATTTCTCCAGAGTAGGGTGGGACTGCAAAAGCTGTATTTACCTGTAAATAGAAAGTGACCACTAAAAGAGGCTAAATGTTGGTAATTGGACATAGAATAATGAAAATAAATATGTCAGGGTAGGCAATGAAGACAACTAGTGCTCAAACTTTTAGCTAGCATGTTGATAGCTTGGTAACTGATAAGACTAAAGCCTAACACTTTAGCTTGCAGATCTGAAGAAGCCGTTCTGAACTGGCAAGTTCTTGACAATTTTTCAATTCCTTATATGCAATAGAACAGCTTTACCCAGCAAGGATGGAGAAGGTGCCAATGTGTTCCTACTGAGTGTAGGGAGCAAGAGCTGAGAAAATGTCAGCTACATGTTTCTGAAAGAGAGATTAAATAGGTCAACAACCAAAATTTGGCTTGTTAAGAAAATGCATACTTAGTAGGTCCAAAAGATTTTTGCATTCTCTTTCCAGAATGCCAACAATGTATTGTATATGCTCTGGTGATAATTTCTAGCCTTTCCCAGAAGAAATAAAAAATGAACCATGAAAAAGATAATATTAATGGCCATACCTTTTTATCATAATAAGAAAACATAATGTTGTCAGCCAAACAATCCATCACAGGTCTGGATACTCTGTATGTAATGTAGTTTTGAAATGTTGTTTTGCACATCATGCTGACTTCAGGTAACACTAAACCAAATTCTGCTAGTGTCTGTCAAACTGGGATGGCAGGGTTCTGTGCACTGAGACTACTTAATTGGTAGTTAAAATGTATGCCATCTTCTGAGCAGAAAAGAAGTCATTTTTCCCCATGCTTTAAACTGTCAAACTGTAGTCTTTCCTTTTCACATGTCATTCCCACTACTAAAGGTTCTGTAGGCCAGATTGCAACTGCTTATTTCTGTGCAATTCCAATTAGCAACTGGAAAAATTCTGACCCTGGGCCAACTGATACCAATGATTTGTAGCCAAATCAAAAGTAGATGAAGGTAATATATTCTCTGTTTCTCATTTAGTGGTGAGGTTAGGTGAGATGGAAAGAACTCAGCTTGCTGAACCGAGGGAAAGGGAAGTGTACAATGTGGTTTTAAATAAAATCTTTTCTTTGTAAACTGAATAAATGGGACAGAAAAAAAAAACCATATATTTACAAGAATTTTTCTACAAAGCACTTTTCTGGAGTTGATCAAAATCCTTTTAAAGTCAGTTTGAAAATGATATTATGGACTACCTGTGTAATGAGTGCCAAATTCCCCTTTATTGACTTAAGCAAATAAAGCAGTCAGTCTCGTGGATGGATCTAACCAGATCTGTTATTATCAATAAAGCCAGCCTCTGTAGAAGAGAATATCAACATTAAAGTAGAGTAATATCAAATAAGTTTATGTATTCACATAAACATGCTCCATAGAAACACTGCTTACACATCAGAACTGTTAGATTTCCATTTGTAGATGGGAGTTGACTAACTAACTGACTTTCATGGAATCTTTAAAGCTTAATAAATTTAATTTAGTTGGAAATTTAGCTATAAATACTGCATTACAAATGGAAGAGTAAACGAACTCCAGTGCCTCTTCCAGAACAGGTACAGTTAAAAGTCAAGCCATATTTTCTAATGAGAAGATCTGTCTGTTTTTCTCAACTGCAGTGATGAAGATGACCTTCCTCCAGCACTGGCAGCAGCAGCAGCAGCATCAACATCTGTATCTTCAGCATCTCCTGGGTCACAGAAAATGTGCACACCACAGACATCAGAAGGACAAACACAGCTTTCACCTGGTGGCAAGGTAAGGTGCAAAGAGATGAGCTTATGTCAGCTGGAGAGCATTTAGGAAGGCTGGGAGGAAGTTGCAAGTAATAGTTTTCTTAGATGAAGTAATTCTAAATTTCAGAGTAGTTTTCAATGCTTAGTTGTGGCCACATATTTAACCTATGTTGTAAATGCAACTGCCAGAAAATGTTCAGAGCCTGCTTGAAGACCCAACTGAAATCAATAATAGGTTTTCACAACCTTGGAGGTCAGTAGATCAGGATTAAATTGTTCAATTTGATCTCAAATTTGCATGGTTTTGTTTGTCTGTCTCTCCTGAGTAGCCATATTTTTAAAAAATGTGTGCAATTTGAAATCCATTTGGCAATTTATGCTTTAAAGAATTAAAAACAAAATGAAACAAAACAGCCCCACCGTAAGATTACAGAAACTAAATGCTTTTTCAAAGCTGAGTTTCTCCTTCATTTTAGAGTTCCACAGATGCTGGAAGTACTTTTGCTCTGGAGCCAGGTGACCTTCTGATGGATTTCACAGAGGCCACACCTATGGTAAATAATTATAGTTTGCGGCCAGAAAAAATGTGAAAGTTTTCAATAATTTGTCTGGAGCTGGAATGAATGGGATGCTATGCAGCATGTTGGATAATGCACAGGAATTAAGTAAGTTTGCTTGATTTTCAGTGGTCCTGAGCACCTGTCAAACTCAGCTCAGCATCTCAGAAAATCAGTCCACATCAAGAAAGCTGAGATTTTGAATGGGGTTCTTTATTGTTGGATGACTTTTCATTTCTCTCTTCTTCCTGATTATCTTTACGCCTTGCTGCACTGGTTTGTCCAGCCTCTTTTGACTCTTTAATGTAGATTCCTACTACGATCATAGACTTGCTTTTAGTAGTTTTCTGGAAAGTTTATTCTTTTCAACACAAGTTTCATTCAGGCCTTATCCAACAGCCAAATCAAAGACGTGTACATGCACTTCTGTATTTCATTAACATAGTGTTGTGCTTCAGTTTGAGGCAAAATAGGCTATAACATGTTGATTATTAACTTCATTTTCTAGAAGTATGTGATCTGTGTTTTTAGTTAAAAGCAACAGAGATATGCTGTCCCACTGAAATCAAAATGGTTCTTGATTTCAATGATCTAGAGCTTTCACCTCAGATTTCCAGGAGATTACTTGAAGGATCACAATAAGATCCTCAACTTTCTCCAAATTGTCCTGCTTGGAAACAGCTCTAATGCCACATAGCTGTGCTGCTGTCAAAAGCCATTTTTGCCAACTTCTAGAAACTACATGTAAAGCCTATGAAAAGCACAGCAGTACATCTTACACAACTGTACACATTAAAATACTGCTCTGGACGTTGCTTTCACTACAATGATAGGTCCTAGTTTACAGTATCACACAAGTATTGTGGGGACATGCCTTTTGCTTCAGGGATATTGTGGTACCAATCTGTAAATAACTGCATGTGTCCTATTACCTAGTATTCTCGCGAGTCCTGTGTCAGCACTGAGCTATGGTGTGGGCATGGGGTGTGCTATGCCTAGGGACCTGCTGCTGTGGATAGAAAGATAGATTTGGTGCAAGGGCGCTAAGAAGATGCTCAAATTGTCACTGGTATAGAGCAGTTTAGGAATGGATGCTTACCCTAGAGGGATAGAGATCTGGAAAGCTTGTCTCTCTCATGCAATTTTGAGCCTATTATAAACAATAGACCTCGAGGGCACGTTGTTTCCTGTATAAGTTCAGCAGGGTCAGTAAGCAAGTTTTATGTTCTTCACCTACCATCGAAGTCCTGTTCATAATCTCTGCCCTTCAACCTGACACAGCTGAACAGTTTTTGCATAATGCAGATGTTAAGTCTCTTAACTGCAGAAAATGAAATTTAAGGGTCTTTCTAACCTCCCAGGACTCCTCAGTGAGAGAACTGTTCCAGCACTAGTAAGGGCAACAGTGCTTACCTCTCCCCCATCTACCGTGTAGGAGAGATGTATCTGTTTTTTCAGCTGAACGTACCACTGCAATTTGAGCTGTCTACTGAAATGGGAATGATTACCTAGAATCTTCTTGAAGTGCTGGAACACAAAACCATCCCATTCCAGAAAGTGGTAGGAGGAGAGGTATCCAGGGCAAAACACCTCCCTCTGTACGTTTCTGGGGGAAGAGTAAATTAGAACAAAGCAAAGGAAAGAGAGAAAAAGCTGCAAGGTATGACATCTTTGCCTGTGGTTTAGGTCGACAAGATACAGGCAGGCTGAAACAGACAGGTTATGTTATACTTCTCACTATTAAAAATGATCGGAGCTAAACTGCAAATAATGACTCTGGAGATTGCAAATATATTTCTTATTCTAATTAAAAATATTGTACAATAGCTTACTTTGGTAACCCAAATTTTTGAAACTGAGTCACGGTGACTTTTGCAACTGACCTGCTCTAGACAACGTGGATTTGTGTTTTGTTTCCATTTAACAGAAATTCACATTGTAGTCTTTCTCTTCCAGCCAAGGAAATAGCTTTTCTTCTCTAGATATTTTACCCTTTCACTATTTCCTCTTTCCTACCCCATCATCCACTGACAAAATTTTTCATTCTTCATGTTCATAAACTAGCCCTCCATGACTTTCTTGGTTTTAATATTTTGAAGAGCATGTACTGAACGGCATCAATCAGCCCTTCTTGTTTTGTTTAATGTCTGTAAAGGTCAGCCTGTTCTCTGAAGAGTAGTTACTGTGTACAGACCTTTCCCTGCAGTTTCACTGACTATAGATTTCTGTCAGCTGAGGTTTGAATGAAAAGTTTACTTATAAGGGAGTGAGTCTCCAAACAAAAGAAAGCTAAAGGGAAATACATAACTTTAGATATTTGATAATTTTGTTGTGGCAACATGTGCTGTCATTTGAGGGTCAGATTATATTCAGCTCAGCTTTGTGTTCGTAGCAATTCAGTGGTAGCGTGCTGGTTTTACGCACTGTGTTTTGACCCTTGGAAAGTTGCTGTTAATTGTACTGGTGTTTGTTTCCTACTCAGAGACATGTACAATGCTTAGAGGGTCTCTCATGCTGCCTAATTTGCTTAACGTAAAATAGCTGTAAGTTCAGGTTCCTACATAGTCAGGGTTTCCTGCAGTAGGACATTCAAACAGCTGACTTCTCTTTGGTGTCTGGACTATGGTTCTTAAGTTGGACACCTAAAACCAACCTTATTTATTTATTTTTATTGGTTACGATGTGTGCTGCCAAACTTCCCATGTTCACCAAAGGGCTGTTGTTAATTTGAAGCAGTTTCAGGCATCCTTCCTACTCTTCTGTAACACTGCTGGCATAGAGTGATTAATAGTCACTGATTCAGGTGCATGATCTTTGTTGTTCAGTGTCTAATCGTTGATGCTTCTTGATGGCCTTGGGTTTTATACATGATTTGCTACTGTTGCCCATAAAGTGGAACCTTTAAAACATGCTAAGGATCAGAGTTAAAGCGGAGCTCACAAAATCAAATTAACTTATAAAAATGGAGGGATTAGTGAATAGATTGGATTAATGGTATTCAGCCAGCGTACCATGCAGGGATCAGAGCAGCCAAATTTGTCCACTCTGTCAGCCTGGAGGAATTACTGTGATGTGCATGAGAACCAACTGAGCTCTAGTGGTCACTTAGTCATCAATACTTGGACTGCCAATAATAGCAGGGCAACAGCAAGGCAGAAAATCATTTTGCAGGAGAAATAGTGTATGCAGATTGCCTAGAAGTGAAAAGTATCCTTCTGTGATCTGCATGCCTCAAAGTATGAGCTTTGTGCATACTTTTTTCATTTTTCAAGTAAATCTTTTAGTTAACTGATTACAACACACTGCATGCTGTCCTTCAAATCACTACAGCAAATGCAGGACAAAATTTCTGTCTTTCTGTACCATTTCATTGAGACTTTAAACACTGTGCCTGGCTTATATGTTATCATGATGCAATGACTGCTGCATTCTCTATTTCAAAAATGAACTGGTTTTATTTTTTTAATACAGCGTTATACATGAAGAATTGTAGTATCACATTATGAGCATCCTTACCGAAGCTTATTAAAACAAGTCTTGTCACTTTTGTAGGCTCTTTCTGCCATCAAGCTGCATCTCCCTCTCTCGCATGTTTCTAGCTTTTATGGAATTGGAAATCAAAGCTTAAGCTGACAGCTATTCTGTTCCAGCTTACAGTGAGCATGATCTGTGACACGGGTACGAATGCAGAGCTTTCTTGTTTGATTACAGAAAGCTCAGTCCCAAGCTCCCGAATGAATGTATCAGCTGCTACATCATGCTGTCAAATACCTTCCCAACCAAAGCAGAAAGGCTATATGTTCCAACTTCAGTTTCACCTAATGGAGTAGGACAAAATAAATAAGAATGTACAGTTTTATATATAAAATGGAACTATTTGTAACCTTTAGCTAAGTTTTATAATGTGAGGTGTACAGGCTAGTGCTAAACCATGATCACATCTCAGAAGATATTGGAGAGCATTTATTTACAGCTGGCTGCATACTTGCAAACTTTACGTGTTATTTCATGCTGGATCCAGTGGAGAAATTTCTGGAGCTTCACCTGCCATCTATTGGCGGAGAAAAGTAAATAAAAAATCATTTGCTTTTTCAAACCTTGAGATACAACATTTAAGAGGCATAGATTATTAGCATGATACTTTAAAATGAAAAATACACGGCCTTCAGTGTAAAAGTAGATTTTTTATTTAAGGCAGATTGGAAACAAATATTTTATTTCAGTACTACTGTAAGCACTCCTGATTACTTGAAGTGATCACACCGAGTCTGAAACAACGCAGAATTTGATGCATTAGCACCTACAATTTTGGGAATAAAATGAAGGCAACCAAGTCAAAAGGCAGTCATCTGCTGGAGACACTGAGAAGTATCAGTAACTCGACGGAGCCATCAAGACATCCTTGTAAATTCTCAACAGTTAGTTACAGTGAGTAAATGGCAGTGAGTAGTGGAGGAGAGGTAAATAATCTCATTCCATGTCCCATTGAAATTAGTTATTTTGATTTTAAAAAATGCTGATTACAGGTTTAGTTGCTAAATATTCATGATGATTTTACAAGCTTCCAATAAGCCAAATAACAAGAGAGTGTGAAATTGTTTCAGTTTATTTTGTCTTCATTTTAAACATCTTTTTGCTTTGGTTTTCAGTGTAAGACAGGTAAACAGATCAAACTGTAATAGCTCCCTAACCAGTCTTCGTGGCACTGATTTCTAAATAAAAGTTGCTATAATGTAGTTCAAGACTAATATCTGATACGAGCATTAGGTAGCACCAATCTACTCTGCTTGGCTGCAAATACAGATCCAATACCTCTGTGTTCCCAAGAGATCTCTTAAACCTCTTAGAGACAAGTTTATAAATGCTTTACTTATTGTGAACTACATAGTGAAGGTAAACTAGGTCTCCTCAAAATAAGTAGTCTGGGTAGCATATTTCAGAATTAGAAGCTTTTTACTTATACATCTTCATTAAATATACATACGCATATATTTCTT